AGGGGGGAGAAGGGGGGGAGGGCCCTGCCCTTGAGGGTCAAGACCAGGAAGCTTGCCCGGCAGGCCGGTGTGGCTCAGTGGTTGAGCATCGACCTATGAACCAGGAGGTCACGGTTCGATTCCCAGTCAGGGCACAGGCCCGGGTTGTGGGCTCAATCCCCAGTGAGGGGGCGTGCAGGAGGCAGCCGATCCATGATTCTCTCTCATCATGGATGTTTCTCTCTCTCTTTCCCTCTTTGAAATCAATAAAAATATATATATTTTAAAAAGAGCAGGAAGCTTGCACCCAAACAGGCCCATGAGGCTGGACTCCGAGGATGGACGGCGGGAAGTGGGCAGGGAGCTGGAGGGCAGCTGCCAGGCGGTGCGGCCCAGCAAACCCTGCAGCCTGCCGGGAGGTCTCCCTGCTGTCCCTGAATCCACCTTGAGGGCTCTCGCTCGCCCCCAGCAGAGCGGTTTCCGACCAGGGATCCTACGGGTCGGCAGGAGCAAGGATACCCCCCCACACACACACCCGATAGACCGGGAAGCTGTGCGCCCAGGCACCGAACTCAGAGCAAGTTCAACAGCAGGCCCCTCCCGGGCTGGGTCTTCCTTCTCCTCCCACAGGAGCAGGGTAGGGGGAAGGGCACGTCTCGCACAACCTTTAAAGCCGCCAGCTACGACCTTAAGACACACAATCAGCAAACGCTCCAGAGGGGCCGGGACGCCCGCAGCCAGCAAGCCGACCTGCCGCCTCCACCCCTCGCCACAGAATTAACTGAAATCAAAACAGCAGCTGGAGGCTCAAAGCGCTTTGTAACATGTAACAGTCCCCTCCCCCCGAGAGTGACAGCCAGGACCACTCACTCGCCTCCAATGTGTTCGCTTAATGTTTTTAAATGTATATAGTATATGTATTTTTTAAATGTATTTTTATTGACTTCAGAGAGGGAGAGGGGGAGAGATAGAAACGTCAATGATGAGAGGGAATCATGGATCGGCTGCCTCCTGCACGCCCCCCACTGGGGACAGAGCCCGCAACCTGGGCCTGTGCCCTGACCGGGAATCGAGTCTGTACCCACTGAGCCACACCAGCCAGGGCTGCCACTTCATGTTTTCATTGTAAAATGGCTGTGTCGTCCCAGCATCGCTGATTTCAGATCGTAAGTGCCTGAGTCCAAGGGACCCCCCTCTCTCTCTCTCTCTCTCTCTCTCTCCAGCCCCCAAACCTGTCTGTACTTTGGAGTCGCCTGAGTGTGAAGAGAAGGGCTTCAAAAATCACCCCCAGAACGAGCCGCCACTGGAAGCTCCCTTGTGATGCGCCCCCAGAACGCCACCTGCAGTCAAGACAAAGGCCTGTCTCTGTTGGCGGGAAGGACAATGCCAGCCGCATTGGCGAGGACGAGGGGCACGGGCGGGGTGTGCAAACCCACGACAAGCAGGTGATGATTTAAAAAGTATAGAGCTCAGGGGTTGAGCATCGACCTATGAACCAAGAGGTCATGGTTCGATTCCCGGTCGGGGCACAGGCCCGGGTCTCGGGCTCTGACCCCGGTGGGGGGCGTGCAGGAGGCAGCCGATCAGTGATTCCCTCTCATCATGGACGTTTCTCTCTCTCCCTCTCCCTTCCTCTGTGAAGTCAATAAACACACATACTGTTTAAAGGCATAAAGGAACAGTGCCCTGCAGCTTCAGAGCCACGGAGGGCAGTGGCGTCCACGCTGAGCCCTGGGCAGGGCAGACCGCACAGTAGGCTGTTGTGCTATAGCAAGGAGGGAGCAGCTGGGCCTCCTCTCGGAACACACACACACACACACACAC